GCCCCATCAGTTCTACTCGATTATGTAGTGGTCAAGGCGCTAGGGATGATTGCGAACTTTCAGCGCGACTGGATGGTGGTTTTGGTAGGACGTTTCTTTTGGTTGGGGTTAGAGTTAGGTTTTGTTTTTTTAATACAGGTTGTGTTCTTGTAGAGTTTTTTCAACCCTTTTTTAGCTATAACTAATTCATATTATTGTTGTTTGAGCTAACTTAAAAGTTATGGGCAGCTTGAAATTTGGAAAATGCTCAAAATGGTGACTTTAAGGACTGTATGAGTTCCGAAGCAAAAAAATTAGAAAAAGTTAAGGGTATACCCTTAGAACTATTTTCCAGACCTTTTTGTTGTTTTATAAAAAGTTTCAGTTGTTTCCTTGCGCTCTCCTTTGATGGTGCCTATTTTCACTATATACCTTAAATGGCCACTCGTCCAATTATTCCTTCCGTACACCACCTATTATTCCGAATGGTTTGCTATGAAAAGAGTACGGAAAGGCTATACGGAATATTAGTTCAAACCGTGGGATATGTCTACGTTTTGATGAGTTTGACGTTCGCTTTCGAAGTCCTGGCTTACCACAAAATTCGGAAGAGTAGTTTTTTTCCTCCGAAGGGTCTCCCCAAAAAGGCCCTCAACCCACAACCCTACTTTGTTAGGGTTTTAACTTTCCCACTTTTAAAATTGTGAAATGAAGAATTTCCCGAAAGCGAAAAATGCGGGTCTGACAGTAGTAGCACGACCAAAAGGGAGTTCTGACCAGACGGCCGAGAAAATCCTCATTACAGGGAAACGGACATACGTTTCTCGCCTATAGAGATAGGATATAACCACCGATTAATTTCTGCAGCAAAAACATTAAACAAGGTACACATAGGGTGGGGGAATAAACAACGGGGGGCACTCATTATTATGACATTTGCAATTACTGAGGGATTTTACGAGTGCCATTCGATAGAATGTCGAAAAACTATACTCAAGAAGAATTAATTTCAGCCCCAAATAATGTAATAGAAATTTTTTTATTGAATAAACAAAAATTGAGGAAAGATCTATGGGCAGTACATAGGATAACGTGGGAAGTCACCCTTCGAAATTTTCGAAATTTTGCATATTTTGAAAAAGTCATTTGATAAAGCGTCGAAAACTGCCCTAGGAAAATTCATTTCAGCTGGAAATAATGTAAATGAAATTTTTATCGAATAAACAAAAATTGATCAAAATCCATGGGCAGCACATAGGATAACGAGGGGGGAAGCCAAATTTTTGAGATTTTCGATATTTTGAAAACGCGAATCGATAGAACATCAAAAAATATACTAAGAGATTTTTACAACGCAGAAAAATGTGTTATAAAGCTTTATAGCCTAAAAACTATTTTTGAAGACTATGGGCGCACATAGGATAAGGGGGGGGATTTTCGGCGTTTTGAATATTTTCGAGATTTTGAAAATGCCATTCGATGAGGACCGAAAAATATACTAAGAGTTTTTTTACAGCCCGAAAAAAGCATTTTTAAAATACTTTTATCATATAAAAAGTTTGAGTGGCCCCCCCGTTATTCCCCCCCCCCCCCGTTATCCTATGTGTACCTTATACAAAAGGTCATTGAAAATTTTCATAAAAATAAGAAAAATATCGATTTTTGACTAGCGTTTCGGCTAAACGTTTTTCTCCTTTTTTTTGGTTGTTTTGGCACTCGAATCTCAGTTAAATTATACGAAAAATTGAAATTACTTTGTATGCCACATACTAATAAACATTCCCTCATTGCAATTGAAACTATTTAAACTTACAGACAAAATTTCTCCCCAAATCGGTCTCCTGAATGCGAAAGAACCTTATTGTGTTTCAGACCAAGAAAGACGGCACGGTGTCGAAAGGCGAAAATTGTTGCTGGCCACGGTCTGCTAAGCTCTTTTTTTTGAGGTTGGCCTGGTTTTAGTTGTGCTGTTCCACGTTCGATAATCTATTCTGGCCCGAAATTACGTCTTTTAACTCGTGCTTTATCAACCTATTTCTCGGCAACTATTGGTGGATGTCAATAAAGCACACCGAGCAGGTCATTATCGAAATTATCAAAAATTTGGGAGTTAGGTGTTGTGGAATTCTTCAGATGGAGCTTGCCCTACATTGAATTTATTTCAAATAAAATCGTTTCTTTTAGAATCATCGCAATAATTTTCATGCGGCCGCAAAGCAAGACTCATAAGATTATCCAGGTTCAAGGCCGGGCCACGTAGCAATGCGATCATCCACGATCATGGCGAATGCTTTCAAATCAACTACGAAAAATATAAGATAGCATAAAGTCACAAATGGAAATTCACTTTGAATATTCCATTACAATATAATTTGTAAGTATGTTAAAATTTACATGTTAAATTTTATCTCACCAGTTATCGGCACTGGCTCTTGTGGTATATTTTTGCAATACCTTTTACCCCACGCTGATATTGTTGCCTTTTACAAAAGTACCTAAAAATGTTAATTTCCCAATTTTGGGGGGTGGACCTAAGATTGTGTGGAGCACCGTAGAACAATCACGTTGCTTCGTGCGCCAAGCCGTTCAGATTTTATTGTGCCTCAAATGCAAAGCTTCTTTCCCGTCGTTTCCTCAATCCAATCACAATAGTAGGAGACGTCAGGACCGATGGCTAAGAAAGGAAGACATTTTTGAGACATCTCTTGAAGGGTATGTCTTAATGTTCGAGACTTCTGGCACGCAAGGCAGATCGTCGTTGCTGATGGCGCTGTTCAAGCTGATCTGAACAAAATCGCGGTACTTCTTGTCGTGGATGGCGAGCGGGCTGCCGGAGTCGCCCTGAAAAGGAGAAAATAGCATAAATTTAACCTTATAAAAATATTCGTGTAATTGTCTAAAACCTACAAAGCAGTTCCCGGCGGTCTTGATCTTCCCGTCAAAGCAGAACTTGTGCAAAACGTCGGCCTTAAGCGTGCATTGCTCGAGCGGCACGACTTTTGCCGTGTAGCCCATCAGCCGGTTGGGAAGGACGCCATGACTCGGTGTGGCTGAAGTTTATGCAAATAAGTCTTGGAGTTTTGGAATACTTTGTTTTGTGAAGAAATTTGTGTTGATTTTGAATCTGGTCTCAGAAACCGCTAACTGTTCATTTTGGAAGAAGTTACAAAGCGTTTTGGCTCGAACAGCCCTAAATGGCATCGCTTGACTGCCTTTCAAATTGTCGGAATAATATCCAAGCAAAACCAATTAGCAAATCGTATGCAAAAAAATTTGCGTCTCTAAATGAGCTCTCAGGGGAAATTTTCTCAACATTTTCGAAAAAAGCTTCTGTTTTATTTTTTTTTTTGAGCAATTGGCAAAATTGCAAATACAGTAAGATCCAACAAAAAATATCCTACGAAAAAACCAGGACGAAAAAACAGACGCTTTAATACGCATGATTAAAAGGTTACCGTCCGCGTTCATGGCTCCCCACCCAACGCTGATTACATCCAGTTCACCGGGATTGACAATGGTATAGTTTCGTGCCAGCACCAACTTTTTTACAGTCTCCCCATAAGTAAGGGGCTGGCGAAGCTAAAAAGAGAAAAATCTCTCAGGAGGTGAAGTCCCACCTTGACAAGCGCAATGTCATTCTCGCTTCCGCCATCAGCGATACGTGCGTATTCTGGATGGATGCGTCCAGATTCGATCTGCATGGCTTGCTTAAAAATTAAAAGCTTAGAGCAGTGAAGCTTAAAGATCGTTTCCCTCCCTGGAAAAAAACACCGACCCCGGCATCATCGATCTTCTTGATGATGAATGTCGAACCGACAACGGCGATAGAGTTATCCAAGCCCCTCCTGAAATGAGCTTGATTTGTCGAAGCAAGGAAGTGCAACGCCAAAGCGACTCGAAGTCGGGGCCTGTCCGAAAATTACCAACATCTGCGTTGAACCTGGCTTCGCGATGCAATGGGCAGCGGTCAAGAGCCATTGTTCGTCGATGATGGATGCGCCACAGAAATGGCTCCTTGGAGAATGGCTTAAAGATTTTTTTGGCTTGCCATTTAGTGTCTTAATCGGTAAAATAGTTTATTGTAAAACCCTACGATTCCAGGGATGCCATAAAAGGGAAGTCGCTGATGCGCCTTCCGTACCGCCAATGATGCGGATCTGAAATTTGGTTCCGTTTCAAAGCTAGCAACCAACGACAGCAGTCGGTCGTCCTAACTCACGGTCCGGTTGGCCCAGTACGCAAACAGCCTAAAAAATCGCCCCTCAAAAGTATCTTACGATACCTGACAGCCAAGGAGCAGCCAGGCCAGGGAATGCATTTCGATCCCCAAATAATTTTTTTGGTGTTGTACGCTATTTTATGGGTGCTCGAATGGCAGGGTATGTGACATTCCAATAGTTTTGGATAGACTTATTATTTGTCAACTGCGATTTGGATGGGCGCGAATAGGGACATTCAAAAAAACTATGAGTCAGATCAATTCTTTTATTTATCTGCTTTTTGAGCTTTCAATTGGGCTGGAGCGTAGAGAGTTTTGTATTCGCTGGCTTTAAGAGAATCATTGGAGCAAAAGGAGAAATAGCTAGACGTGTCGGCTGGAGGTTATCTAACTTCAAAAATAAAGCTGTGTCTTGGTAATCACGATTTAAACAACGCTGCCTCGTTGGTCAACACAAGCTTTATTCGGCATAGATCTCTCTTCAAATACAAATCTTCTTTCCGGTAGTGTGCGCAATCCAGTCACAAAATTCGCTGACGTTAATGCCATACGCTGAAAGAAAGCTTTTCACTAAATCAGGCTGGCCAGTTGGCGCATGGAGGAGCACGGTGAACGCAGTCTCTACGCCTTATATTGGGCGTCATTTGATCGATGCATGGTTTCTACAAAACAACAACCACTAACACAAAACCTACTGATTGTGTCCGGTTTTCCACATCCTGGGGACCCGCCATACAGCGCACTTACTTGCACGAATTTGCGAAGTTTGCTGTCATAGTAGGCGATCGGGCTGCCAGAATCACCCTAAATGCTAACCCGTTTAATAAGGCATGTACCCCGAGCGAACGATATGAGATGGAACCCACATAACACGTGGTGGCATCGTTTCGGACATCGATAAAACAGAGACCCCTTGGAAACACGCATTTCTCTTTTTGGAATTGAACGCATCACAAAACCCATCAACGGTTTATGCGGTCCAGAATCTAAACCGGTTCTCGCTAGGTTAGCCATCTTTTTTGTTCCTTTGAGACGGTGAGTACCCAAGCACGCCCATCAGGGGTGTTGTGTCAGTAGGGGCTGTTTCTTACCTTGGCCAGTGTCTCCCCATCCCTGCACATAGAATTTTGTTTCATTCGTGACTTCTGGTTGCCTCTTCAGGACCAGGGAGTTCGCTCTCTTGTCATATTTGATGGGGCGGGCGAGCTTGTCAGGAAATGTTATCATGCAATGGAATTCAAACCTTGATGAGACAGATGTCATTGTTATGATCTTCGTGCACATAACCATTCGCGATAGGGAGCATTTGCTGAAAATATATTTTGACACCGTCGAGGCGATAAAAAATTTTCGGGAAAAACATACCGCTCCGGCGTCGGGGATTCCTTTGACATAGTCGGATCCGACAAGCGCGCCTCTTTGTTGCCTAAATGAGAAGTTTGAGCTTTTTTACTCTTTGCTGATTATCGGTTTAACGCAGCCCTCTCAGAACAATTTACAAAACGGTACAGCCAACAAGGCAGGCGTCCTAGCCGAAAACTACGACGAAGACAAAAGCGGTTCACGGAAATAAATTCAGTCGGCTTTTTGGTTACTACAACTCTCCAAGTCAATAATTGCAGCACATAGAAAGGACTACCCACCAGTCAGCCTGTCTGAGATTTCGGAAACAATGGGCAGCGGTCAGGAGCCATTCATGGTCGATGATCGAAGCACCGCACCAGTGGGCGGTAACAACTTGGGACGTCGAGTTGCTGAAATGGAGGAGGGAGTGTGTTAGCGGAAGGTCTACTGCCAGGTTCGTTTATAGCACCATGCGGGGTGACTGAAAAGTTCCCGCAATGTATTCAGATTTTAATCAATTAAGTTTTTATTTAAAGGCGCGATTAAAGTATAACGCATTTAAAAACAACACAAGACGCCCTTTGCATCTACAGGGTGTCCCAAAATTATCCGGACAAAGTTGCAAAGCGGTTTTTTCCTATTTTTCCCTGTTTTTGCAGACCACAATTTAATTTCTATGAATCGTTGAAGTGGATTTAATAAGCTTAAAAAGAAAACTGCGCGTAAATCCGTCATATCTCTTCTGAATAAATTGGAGAAGTTCGAACCAAATTTCTCTCTCCTTGCAAACGCTGAAAATGCGCATGCTTTCCGATCCCATAAAAAACTTCAGCATGACCGGACGAACGAAGAAACCACAGGAAGAGTTTGGAAATGACTAGTCAACACTTTGGCCGGCCCAAAAACGCTAGGTTTACATCAGAAAAAAACACAGCCAGCAAAAAAGTTGAAATCGAGGTACGCGCCGCCCCGGTTGCCTTGAAGGTTTTGCCCTAGAGGAACCCTAAAAACGCAATATGATTATTGCCAAAGATTAGAGGCATAAACTTTTGGCGGTAACGATGATGCACAAGCAATTTAAATTAAGCTAACATTGATTTTTGAGGAGCTTGAGCACGAGCAAACATCGAAACACCTTGCCCGGTAATGGGATGGAAATCGGTATTAAACCGAAAAATGACCATTAACATGTCGGAATCTTGGCGGGGTTAGGTCCGTTTTGCCAGAAAACGTCAATTCTTGCCCACAAAAACGTCTGAACACGTTTTGAAAGTTTACCGCAATTTTTATGTTATTTAAGAGGCGAAAAATTTTAATATGCTTTTCGCTCGATTGTGAAGCTATTTTGCGTTCTCCAAGAATTTTTTTTGCACGGTGCATCGAAAATACCTCAAAAATATTATGAAATACAATGCGGAGGCCGAAAACCGCGGAAAAATTGAAAAAGTCAGTTTTCAGTTTTGTCCGGATAATTTTGGGACACCCTGTAATTAACGGCAACTTCCGATCATTTTTCTTGGAGAAATTGAAGGTGTGCAAGTGCAATATCTTGCGATAGCGTGGTTGCTGTTCCAGAATAATTATAAAACCTACAACGCTCCTACCGAAGCCATATACGGAAAGTTGATGATCGACTTCCTGTCTCCACGAACGATTTTACTCTGCAAACGTTGAATCAGCCGACTAGTTTTTTGTGAAGTTTGGCGACCAAAAACCAGAGCAGACTACTATAACACATACCACATGATGCGGCCCATCGCTACGATCCAGAATTTCATCGGCCCCGCACACGCTAATCTGGGTTTAACACCACTTAAGAAAATCATATATGTCTTTACCAGAAAACCAAAGAGCAGCCACATCGATGTGGAAATCCTGAGATGGTGATGCTTCTAAAGCTAGCACGCTGCTATTTATAGGAACTGATCTGCTTTTCTTTTGAGCATCAAATTGTATAGCTTTCAATGGTTTTCAATAGGAATCAGATCAGCTGATTAATCTGCAGAATCGGGCTTTTCCGGGTATGCCCAAGAAAGCTGACTAGTCTCCCGGAACGGCGCGGCCAAGTTTGAATAGACTCTTTTGAAAGTAGGCCTTCGGGCGGTATAATCGGAAAGTCTCGTCGGCTCCATTTCTAGCCTGCGAATTTGTGGCTTGCTCTGAGAGTACAAAATCCTTAGAAAAGGTAGCACGACCTTCCAGGACAATTTTGTAATTGCAACGCATCCATGACGCACAGCGTCTCAGTAATACAAGTTTCCAGTTTTTCGCAGCTTGTTTGCATTTTGAAATTAACGAAAATTGGCGACAAACAATCAACCTTTATTCTGGGTTTCAACACTGGCCCTAGATGCAAATCTTCTTTCCCACCGTGTTGTCGATCCAGTCGCAGTAGTTGGCCAGCTCGGGGCCGCTGGCTGAAAAGCGATATAATAATCTTAATTCGAAATAGATCGTCCAGGTGTAGAAATGGAATTTAAGCTCACTGAATTGTCCCACATTTCCACATTTGCCCGGGCCGACGCCATGCACTAGGCTATGCTGGACGTAGGCATCCAGCTGCGGGACATGAACGGCCATTGGACCTCCGGAATCGCCCTGAAAATCTCGGATTTATACCCCAGCGGAATTGATTATTGGTATTTGTAACAACTTGCTTCTGAATTTTGGTAAGTAACGTTTTGATCATCTTAAGCTCAACTTTAACGGTCAAAACCTGACCGGGCAGACGGCAGACAGCTCGTGGCGGGAAGCAGATCCACGCGTTGCACTTGTATAAAAATTGGCAACGTAGCCATGGAGCTGATGATCGCCCTTGCATCTAAAGGCATTGAAAGTATTTGTTGTGCATTACTAAAAGATAAGGGGTTAAAGAACTAATTAATCCATATATAGTTTCCTACTCAATAGAGCACCGTAGCCCCATCCCATGATATGGATGTCGGTGCCATTCTTGACCTTCAGGTTTCGTTTCAATAGGATTTTCTGGACCCGCTTCCCGAGTTTGATCGGATGTCGGAGCTTAAAATATTATATTTTTAGGCGTACAGGGGCGTCGAAACCTTAATGAGACCAATGTCGGGCGTCACGAGCCCGTGCAGGCTTTCGAGCTCAATGAGTTGCTGAAATTGGGTAGGTATGATAGATATGTAAGTAAGTAGCTACGTAATTTAATAAGTAAGGCAAGAAGAGGTAATTAAGTACCTGTATAATTTTCAAAAAATTAAAAGGAAGAGAAAAATTACCGCATCTTGCTCCAAACGTGGATAAGTGCTCGAGCCAACAAGGGCGCGGCTGCCGCTGATGTAGTGCGCGTGTTCTCTAGAATTTTTGTGATAGAATGAATTTAACGAGGCGGATCTGCTGAGACATAAAATTAACAAAATTAAGCTCTAATCCACTCACGACTCATTGCCGGGCAGGCAATGCGCGGCGGTGAGCAGCCATCTCTCGTCGATGATCGACGCCCCGCAGCCATGGCCCATCAGGCCTTCGGTCATGTTGCTGTAATAGAGGTAACGTATTTTTTAATGGAACAGAAAGCAACGTATTACAACAAAATAAAAATTATAACCTACATTTCTTGAATCGAGACCATAAACGGGTACTCGTCCACCGACTTTTCGGAGCCATGTGAGATGACTAGGTTGCGATCGATCTAAATGATGCTATTTGGGTGTTACGACGAACTATTAGAGCATGGTTTTGCTTATTTGATGTTTTGATAATAATTGAGGCCAACCTCGTTCTTATACAGCCGCTTTTAGCTCGTTGGCTATACACTGGCACGTTTTAGCGCACGTTCGGGGGTTGAATGTATACACCTATGGGCGCCTACTTCTCTTTTTAGACTTAAACCCTCCGCGTAATCCTACTATATATAAAAAATAGTGTTTGTGTGTGTGTGTGTGTGTGACACTTTGCATGCAACTTCCGTCAGGGTGTCCAGAGGATATCTCGATAGGGGATGAATTTTTAGGTATGTATGATACGTCATTAGGTGCGTAATGGCTCTGGGATGTCTGCACGCTTATCAGATTTATCAAAATTGCCTATTTTCGACATTAAATTTAGCTTTTTGTTAAAAAATTGTCGACCCTCTTTGTTAGGAAAAGATTAGCATGCGCCGGAAGTTCCGCTAGCCTATATCATGGGGCTGAGAGCGCCATTTTCATTTTTTGTCATCGGAAATCCAAACATTATGCAAAGTTAAGTATATCGTGAGATCAGACGGGGCCAGGGTTGAAAAGCCGCTTCGCGACATTTCAACCCTGGTTAGGTGTATAATTAGCTATGCCTCCTGAACGTACGCGTAAAGGTATACCCAATTGGTGGAAAGGGCTGGCAGCAGTTTCAGATTTTTCACTATCAGTGGTCCCTACCGTATGCGGCTCCTCATCTCCTAGCTTGTAAACCAGCGCCTCGGCAATCTAAAGCATTCATGAGAATGCTGTCTGAAGGAGGATACCTGGACACTTGCCACCAAGCAGGCGGCGAATGCTAGAAGCCCTCTCATTTTCAGGGACGCCAGAAAGTAATATCTTTCTCCTGGGTGTGACAACTTATATGCCCCGAGTTCGGATATAAGGCAACGTCACGTGGAATTATTATTCATGAAAAAATCACTATTCTTACAATTTCTGGCGCGCTAGATTTTGGCTATATTGCTTTTTCGATGGGAGCCCCGGTATTGCTATTTTTACATGCACCTTGTATGCACACCAAATCTTTTGATGTGGGTTTCGTGCGGTAACGAGACAACACAAAAAAAAGATTTATTCGGTAATGCAAATCTTCTTGTCGATGGTCTTCTCGATCCAATCGCAATGGCGAGAGACAACCGGCCCGATGGCTAAAACCCAATGAAATTAACAAATTCCGAGCGGCTTATATCAATATATCAGGCATTGGTGAACTATGAAACCAACTGTCATCGTCCTTGGATCCGCATAGGCCGGTTCCCTCGCTCACCAAGCTAGCTTGCACAAATTTGTTGATGCGGCGATTGCAGTACACGAGTGGGCTGCCTGAATCCCCCTGAAAAACATGACATGCCCCAATTGGAAGTCGCCACCCTAGTCGCCTGCCAGATTACTTACGTCGCAAGTCCCACGGGCCTTGTTTCCGCCATCAAAGCATAGTTTAGAAGATGAGCTGCAGCTCGGTACAAATTTCCCGGTAAAGCCCAAAAGGCTTTCAGAGGTGAAAGGACCTAAAATCAGGTATTCTTGTGTCAACGCGGCCATAAGGTTGAATTTGTCTAGGGCTTCTTCGCATTACACACCTCCTGCTTTGTTAAGCCCCACCCAAGAATGACGATGTTTGTGTCATTTGCAATTTCCAATTTTCTGGTTAGCACCAGCGGTTGTACACGTAGACCATACTGAATAGGCTTTGCCAACTGCAAACGGATTGGTCTGTTTCCGTAAGGGGAAGTGGTATACCTTAATCAACGCAACGTCGTCTTGAGGAAAACCGTCTTCGTCTATGTAGTCTGGGTGGGTATGCTTCTCTTCGAAGGTGAAGGTCTGCTAAAAGGCTAGACATGAGCATGATGCATATCAAGTAAAAATCTTCAAAACAAACATGATCTGAAGAATAGCTACATGCAGACTGGCGGTGTATTTTCCCAAACCTTCAGTTAAAAATGCAAATGAGATACCGCGTTTTTGTCGGGATGTGCGCCTGTGTGGGTAGAACCAGCTACCGCGCCGTTCACGCCTAAGCTTCGTCTAAGATCCAAGCAAGGGTTAACCGAACGCAAACTCACAGGCAATGGCCGGCGGTCAGTAGCCATCTCTGGTCGATGATCGAAGCCCCGCACTGGTGCTCAAATTTCTTCGTGACGCTGTCGCTGCAAGTGTGTCCATAGTATCGTTACCCAGTATACCATGGATACCACGGAAACCATCATTTAGTACCTTACCATCCAGAAAAGCTATTCAAATGCTTACAGGTGTCCAATGGAAACGATGAACGGGTAGTCTTCCACTGATATCTCAACCCCGCCGACGATACCGCTCTAAAGTGATTTTGCTCTTAGCCTAAGGTTTAGGGTTTGTGCCTGAAAATTAAAAAATTGTTGCATTTGCTCTGGAACTACACTGCTCGGCACCAAAAGTACTCCTCGGCGCATTTACTCCTTCAAACAAATTCATGTTGGATACTTATCAAATAGCAGAATAAACAAACCGCGGGCGGGAGGCCATCTGCTTCCACGATTCGATCCCGGCAACCCGTCGCCGCTTGCCCCTAGGTGAAACTCTATAGCTATTGCGCGAACCACTTGCCAGAAAGCCGACCGTCAGCCAGAGGAACGAACGCATTTCTGAGGAATGATCTCTAGCCTGATCTGGTGGTATTTATACTTTCTCGTGTCTATTAGTCTAAAGATTTTGGTCCCCCGCATTTCTATGACCTTTTGAATTAGTCGAATGTAAAGTGAACGCGGCATGTGAATCAGTTCTTCGATAAAATAGTCTCGAAAACACCTTCGAGACCGGGTGAATGGTTTTTAAAAGGCTGAGCAAGGCCTGGATACATCTATAGATTCGCGCAGGCGTCCGGTCGAAAGCGGCGTCTTACTCATTTGGCAAGGAAAGGGGTTAGCTTATAACTCTGGACTGCAGTATAGCGAGTGTTCGCTCGCTGTCAACCCCTACTTCACATCTTTATTCCTCATTGAAGCCAGCCCATTTGCGGTTTCAGGTGTTCGTAAGGGTAGTCGTTGCAAAAATTGGTCTGCGTCACCTCGAAGATCCAATCGCAATAGGGGACCACTTTCGTTTCCATAGCTAAAATTTGGCGATTCTGATGTTCGAAGTCGGTTGTGAGTCAGAGGGGCTCAAGTGCATACTGTAGTTCCAGTATTGAAGATATTCGCAGCCGCCGACCGTGCTCTGAACAATGCCAAGTTGGATCCACTGATCTACCCCTGGTATCATTTCCGTCAAAGCCATTACAGGGCCGCCAGAATCACCCTAAAAATCATTATCCGAACGAAAGTGAGGAGAGAGAGAAAGAGAGAGAGAGAGAGAGAGAGAGAGAGAGAGCGAGAGAAAGAGAGAAAGATAGACAGAGAGAGACAGAGTAAAGAACAGAGAGAAAAGTAGCGAAAAAAGAGCGTGTGGGAGCGTGAAAGAAAGAGTTAGAAAGGGCGAGGGTGAGATCCACTTACCGCACACTGCCCAAAGTTCTTGCCCGCAACCAGGCAGAACATTCCGGGCTGATAATGCATTGCGCAAAGTCCTGGTGTAAGATCTTCGTGGTGTATTTCCGAAGCACAGGTTCATACCCGGCTAGAAATTGTTTGAAAGTAGGGTTGAAAGGAGCATCAACCGCACCTCCATCGGCCATCTCTCCCCATCCGACCACCTCGATGCGCTTCGCCCAGAGCGGCGAGTTGCGCCACAAAATGGCGTTTGCGATGCGACGGTTTTGACGAAGTGGTGTGTCCAGCTGAAGGATATTCAACTTTTTTTACTGTCTTTATACAATATACTTGTAGAAGAGCAATATCGAATCCTTGAGCTCTCCTTCAGGTCCGTAATTTGGATTGACAACGGCGCGCGCGATACGTTTGCCCTGCTGCAAAGGAGGTACAGAGAGGGAGGACGAAGAGAGACCAAGAGAGAGAGAGCGTGAGAGAGAGAGAGAGAGAGAGAGAGAGAGAGAGAGGGAGAGGGAGAGAGAATGAGAGAGTAAGAGTAAGAGTAAGAATAAGAGTACCGCCTGCGTATCTGGAGATCCTATTTCACTGATATGGCTCGTCCCGGCAATCACTTGCCATTGCCGCAAGTCGCTCCTAGACGGTTTTTATTATTTTCTATGAGGCCTTGGATGCACTTGCACCTGAAACCTATTACCCTCGACGGTAACGCAATGGGCGGCCGTTGGGATCCAGCTTGCTCCTAGGATCGTTCCGCCACAGACGTGTTCAAATAAACTGAAAATTATCTTTCTCTCTCTCACACACGCTATCTCTCCCTTTCTCTCGTTCTCTTTCTCGCCCTCTCTCCTTTCTAGCTCTCTCTTTCTCTTTTATGTCTCTATCGCCTTTTTCGTGAAGACCCACTCGCTATCCAGCAACGGCCTCTGAATCGATACCATGAAACGGTAGTTATGGACATCCTTGACAATCTCACTGCCCGCGGATTTCATGCCCCTCTAGGTATGATCGGGCTCGAAAAAACAACGAAACGTACATGAAAGCCGCTGGAATTTAGAGGTTTGGCTTTGTCTAGGATTTTGATGCCCTAAATCGTTCCGTTACGTGAATCATGTTGAATTACCTGGATCGAACGGAAGATTACCACCAGAACGGTCAGAAAAAGTATAGATAACTTTCTGGTTGGCATCGAATCGACAGAATTCAGACCGTTGAGGAAAAAATGGACAATTTGATGTGCAGACAAGCGCGGTATATGCGCTTTATTGCATAAATTACAGCCCGGGAGACAAAAAGTTCGTATTCGAAGGATGTTTTTTGGCAAAAAATAGTTTCTAAACTCGTAATTCCCAGTGTAGCTAGTTTGGGTTTGCGACTAAAATCCTAGAAAAGCGAACCCCAATTTATTCAAAACAATTCGTTATCATCAGTCATCAAAACGGTTTGGCTATGATTTTCGTGGTGCATGAAGTTGGCGTCGACTCGGAGGAAGTCGGGCATCGTTTGGATCGTGGAGTTGGCTGAATTAAGAAAAGGGAAATTGGCCGCTAGGCTGTGTATAAATGGCCGTAGGGTATCAAAATTCACGTGATAGAGCCAAAGCTGCTTCTTTGAAGATGGGAATCGGGAATCCCTGTCGGAAGAGGCCGTTCAGGACGAGCTCAATGACTCCGAGGAAGAGCTTTTTGAAGGATTCTTTTTGTCTAAAAACGGTATTGAAATTTAGTGATCCAAAAATCCAGAAAGAGAGAAAGAGCGATCGAGAGAGAGATAGAGAGAAATGTCAAGAAAACCTACTCCGGCAGCAGATCCCCAATGATCGAATGGGTTTGGTTAAATTCAGCCATTGTTCCAGTAACATAGCCACTTAGTAGTGTGCCATTTAGAAGAATTACCATCTTGGACTCGGTTTGCACATCTAGAAAAACTGTTGCTGATCTTTACCTTTTTCAAATTTACCTAAAGTAGCCAGAATTTCCCTTGTCTCGGCCATTGGATGGATGTAAATGTCGACTGCTAGTGAGCCTTGCACCTTTCCAAATCCTTGATTGAGTTTGAGCTTAAAGAGTAGGTAAAAAGCCATTTTTTTAATATGGAAGGTGGCAAGGTCCAGTATCACAAATTGAAGCTGACTTAACGATACCTTCGGTGCTCCCTTGGCCCTGATATGCAGGTCGACATACTGTTTAGGATATTTCTGCGCAATCTCAGGCCAGAAGGTGGCCATGCAGACAGCGTTTTGGCCTCGGAATGGGCAGCTAAACAAATTACAAAGCAAAAAAAATGGATACCTACGTCGTCCTCAGATAAGTAGTCGCTTCCGGGATATCCTTAGTGAGTAGGAATTGGATAATTCCGCCCTTGGCCGCGCTGTAGCTTATGCAGTTTCCGACCGTTTCGGATATCCAGACGTTTCCCATTGAGGAGATGGCGGGCCCTAAATGTCCTTGAGATGACTCATTATTCGTGGATGTAGCTAACCCTCAGTTTAATTTGCTAAATAATTCTTCAAACTAATGAAACAAATGAAAAAATTACCATCTTTTCGAGGCGCTGGCTCGTAGGGGCAGGTGTCGTGGCCGTGCAAGACGTTGGCTGAGAGTTGGGCTTCGAAGAAATCGCTGGAAATGGCCCAAAATGTATGTATCTCTCGCTCTATCCTTAGCTCTCTCTCTCTTTCTCTGCCTCTCGCTCTCTCTCGCCATCTCTCTCTCCCTCTCCATCTTGCTCACTCTCGTTCTTACTTGCTGTGCACCATGTTCGTCATGTTGTAGACCAGCGCAAAATCCGATCCCAACTGAAACTCGAGTGGGATCGTTACCAGCCGCCTGTTCACTTCATTTACACCCATTTGGAGTATGTTGCAAATCTGAGGAGGTCGAGCTTCATTTAAAATAATTCACAAACCGATTTATCAATCATTCGCCTTACTGTACCTTCGACCCAGTCGCGTATAAGCGCGTAGACCCATTTTATACTTGACTGGACGCTGTAGTAAGTATAAATAGGGTAGAAAAAGAAGCTTACCGGATGCTTACTTCCCCAATCGTCGCTTGACAATTTTCGTACTCAACTTGAGGTCTTCCGCCTTTTGCCACAATTCGAACCGGTCCGTTGCCCGACCCTTTTTCGTCCACACGGCGATGTCGCCGGTGAAAGTGTACTGTAATATCCGTGTTTAAGTATTCTCACGTACGCGAGGTCCTTTAATTAATGCACAGCGTTGGCTATAGACTTATCCCGTCTTGTTTTTATCTCACCTTCGTAAACCATATCCATCTATGATAGCTACCATGGCCAGAAGCGGAAACCCCAAGCCCTGACATCCCCAGCATGATGCCGTCTTCAGTGAAATTGTGGGTAAGTCTGTAAATTAGCTTTATACGAATCTCTTGTTGACGTTAAAAGCTATTGGAGTTTTGGAGGTTTTAAGGTTAAATTACTTACTCTGGCAGCTCCTCTCCGGTCATTCTGATACCCTCCATGGTCCAATGGCGGCCGCTTTGCGTCGGGATCTTCAGTCCCATCACGTATTTTTAGCTGAAAATGTTGCTAAAGGCCCCTACAAAGCTACCTGGTGGACCCTTGACCCTGACTAGGTTTCGATAGCAACGCGTCAGCAAGACGTTAGCTGACTTTCCATGCGAATAAGCCTATTTCAAAGGCTGTCTTACCTGATTTTGACAAGAGAGGGTCAGTGAGAGGAGCGAGAGAAGAGAAAAATAGAGCGAAAGATTGAGAGAGAGAAAGAGAGAGACAGAGATAAAGAGCGCGAGATAGAGAGCGAGAGAGCGAGAAAACAACGAGTGCCAGCTCTCTATTGTTGAAGCATCCTTCTAAAACTCACCATATACTAACACCGTCTCCTTCAAAAGTCCCATCCAGGACTGTTCAGCCGGAAGATGACCGACGGATTCGTGGTGTTAATTCCCGATACAGTAAGCAACAAAATAAACAAGAATATCCCCATTTTTTGAAAGAAGAGAAACAGAACAAACTGCGGCGCTTTTGCAAGGGCAGGCTTTATATGAGAAGTGCCCGAAAAACGTGATAACTAATGCGATGGCCTACGCCCCATTATCGGCAATACTGCAGGCTGGCCAAAGTAGCGTAAATACTGGAAATTTTTGGCGCAAGAAAATGTTCATGTGAGTCAGCATTCGTGCTTAAAAGATTAAAAATTATGTCATATTTTAGCAATTAATCAAAAATCATTTTTATATTTGATTTCTGATGCTAAAAGATCCTGCTTCAAAGTTGCTCTGTAGCTTTAGGTCGGCTGCTCCGCTCGAAACAACGATTTTCCGACTTTTGAATACTTGAATAATGTTCGATTTCAGCGATATAAAATCTGATTTGTTTTCTTATTTTTATGCTTATCGATATTTTTATCAATTAAACACATATTTCTTTCCCCCATCACCTTCTGGAACCAATCGCAGTAGTTGGTGAGGTCCGGGCCCTTTGCTAAAAATCGGTTTCAAGGGATGGAGACAATAGAGAAAAACTACTCGATAAAACCCACTCATCGTAGTTTCGGGTCGGCAATCGGGTCCAGTGCTCGCGCTGACCAACGTCACCTGGACATAGTTTTGAAGTGGAATGTCGTAGTAGGCGATTGGGCTGCCGGAGTCGCCCTGGAAAGTGGCATCAATGACTGAAATAAATCCTTTTGAAACGCTCAAAATTAAGAAATTGGGTTTTAAAGGCGTGATGACATAAAAGCTTAGCGGTTATCATAATTCAACAAAGCCCAAAAACTGCCTTATATTTTTGATGCTTAAAACTAAACGTAATTTCTGGGACTTTAAAGGGATGGTGACCCCGTTTTCTTCACCAAAATGCAAAAAAGAGATCATTTTGTTGTCACGGTCCCTTTAAACAGCTTGACTCGAAACGTACTACACAATGTCCCTGCATATCCGTTTTCCCGTCAAAGCAAATTTCGTAGGTGTTTTCCGATTCTGGACATTTCGGGCCCGTGACGAGTTTTCCCGTGTAGCCGAGCAGCAGGATTGGTCGAAGGTGTCGATCGGGTTTGGCTAAAATTGATGTCGGAGAGACAGAGAGTGAGAGTGAGTGAGAGAGAGAGAGAGAGAGAGAGAGAGCACCAACCGTCCGGCTCATAAGCGCCCCACCCAGCGCTTTTCATCTCGGCCCCATCTTCAAGCAGCAAATTCTTCCTTAAAGATACTTTCCGCACCTCCCGCTTAGGTTGGTGGACGGATCAGTTAAGTGATCTAGATTCGACATTTGTCTAGGAAACCTTGAGCAGCGCCAGATCATGAAGCAAAATTTCGTCCTTCGTCTCAACGTATCCCGGATTGACGCATACCTCGGGAGATGTCGCCTTTTTGCTAAAATCTGTTCTGGATTCTTATTAATTGTGTAATGAGCTAGGGTTAGCTGGCGCCATCCGCTTAAAGATGAGGTAAACAAAAGCGGCTTATGGCCTAAATTCGTACCGCTTGTGAAGTATGGCTGCGGTCAGATCCATTTGTTCCGACGGCGATGAACAGGTTTTCGATTCTATGGAATGATTAGCGGTAAAACTCTGTATATCAAAGTTACTGGCCTCCGATATTTTCAGTATTTTCGATAAATTTAAACGCCCTACTTTTCTCCCTCCATACAATGCGCTGCGGTCAGAATCCATTCCTCATCAATGATAGAGGCCCCGCAGAAGTGTTTGCTAAATCAGGACCTGCCAATCTCGCTGTCTCCCTCTCTCACTCTCTCGCTGTCTCTCTCCCGCGCGTGCTCTCTCTCTCCCGCTCTCTCTCACCAACAACATACTAGGATTGCAGCGTCCCTAGAAAGGAAATTCTTCGATGGGTTGTTGGGTGCCTCCAACGACCTTGCTCTAGTATGTATTATATCAAGGCATGAATTAAATGGAATGCCACACCACTGGGCCGACCACACTCAAGTTCGGGTGATGATCAATGCCGCCAACAACAACATGTAACTGCAAGAGGTAGGGATCAATAATTCATTATTCCTACCAGACAGAACAATGCGGTCCATGGAACTGCCCGCATTTTGGTAGAAACAAAAAGAAGGCGAATGGAAAAATGTCCTTTATAGCGCCCCATAAATGTCATAAAAGATCATATTGCAAAAAGAGATACGATTCAATATATAATACGATATGGCTAGACGTCTTCTCTCTGTCCCCCTGTCTCTTTCTTTCTCTCTCTTTTTCTCTCTCTCTCTCTCTCTCTCTCTCTCTCTCTCTCGCTCTCCTCTCCATGTTTTTCCGTTTTGCGTAGCATATTCTTTATTAAAATCCACATCCCTCAGTAGTGCTCGTGATCATAGCAAAAATTTGTCCCAGTCGTCCTGGCTATCCATCTACAGTACCAGGAGACACGCTGTGCATAACCTAAAAACAGAAAACAATTGAGGTCCCTAAAGCGAAAAGTTACTCCAAGGCGTGGTAATGAAATCACAGGTTCCCTCGGGCATTCCGGTGGTGATGCCAATTTGAATGTGCTCCCATTGACCAGGGAACAGCTGCATCCTTGTAAAAACCGGGCCTCCAGAATCGCCCTAAAGGGAGACGTAACGTAACGGGCTTGCATAAACCGGGCTTTTAGGAAAGTATTTTGTATGTGTGATTTAGGCATATCTGTCTGCCCCCTAAAAATATCTAGATCTCTATTGGTATGTGTTTTTATTAAACATAAGCACGCTCCAAAACCCACTTTTGCAAGGCCCAGCTCTGCCCTTTCCGGCGACGCAGAGCATTTTCTCCTCTACCTCAAAGCATGGCTCGTAGAGTGTGGTGGTGTAGCCCCGCAAAACATCTGTGGTTGGTCCTCAAGAGCGTCATTAAATTGATAATAATAATAATACCGTACCTCCAGGATACAGGTTACCCCAACCGATGATTTCCACTTGCCGCACGTTTTCCATTGGTAGGGTCTTCCAAAGATAGATTCTGGAGATTCCATTCGGCTTGAGGGGTCGCATTAACTAAAGAGGACGGGAGAAGCGCGAGAGATAGAGATTGAAACATCGAAGGCTACTACACATACCTTTAACAACCCAACATCATTGACACGATTCCTATACCTCCCATACGTCCAATCAGGGCTCACGTAAGCTGCCTGGATTTTTTAATTTTTGCTAAAAGCTTGTTAGGTTAGTTTTAGTCCACATTGATACGGCTCCGGGTTCCGACGATCCGGTTGGCCCAAGTCTACCCGTGCCCGCAACAACCATCCAGTCGGTCAAATCCTCGCTGCAAATCACCAAAAATTGTGGGCTGTTTACGTGACACAACACATTACATTACAATGCTAGAGCCATACTTACAATTGGGTATTGTCGTACTTGACAGTAAGACAGTGAGCAGCTGTTAGTATCCAGCTCCAGCCGATGATTGTACCACCACAATGGTGCCGATAGGTTCCTCTCCTAAACACGTAAGCCAAACTTAAGTCTAAGCTAGGCCGAAACCAAAAATCAAGCCAAACCAAGCCTATGTTTAGGCTTAGGCCTACGTCTAGGTCTAGCCAAGACAAGCTCAAACCTCCCTTATACCTATTCATGTTAGGTTTCTGAATCGATACTATGAAACGATAGTTGTCGAAGTCGCGCAGCTCGCCATCAATTATCTTAACGTTTTCCTAAATTCTTGGATTTCCAGGAGTCGATATCCAGCCTGCTTCCTGTCCAGAATTTGCATTGCTTAGTATTTCAACCGCTTCCAAAGGATGAGAATCATTGAAGCTTGAAGATGGCGTCCAGCTGGATCGATTCCGAAATCCCGAAAAGCGCGCCTAGTACTGTTGCAAGGGAAGCATGCATCAAAACGATCGGTCTGGTTCTCATTTCATGCCGATCGCGAGGCCGGAATTTTGAATAAGCTCTATTTTTATCTTTGTTTATAGTCACGTGAAGCGGAAATGTCTTTAATCGCTTCTCTATCACTTTCTCTCACCCGCTGTCGCAATCTCTCGGTCATTCTCTCTCTCAATCTTCTCGTTCTCTCTCTAATCCCTCTCAGGGATCGCTAATGTATTAATATGCATAATTCTGTGAAGTCGAGTTATCATCTATTAAAACTCAGCATCCCTTAATGATACTCATGATCGTAGCAAAATTCGTCCGAGTCGTCCGGGCTATCCATCTACAGTACCAAGAGACCCGCTGTGCATAACCTGAAAATAGGCTTGTGATACACCTAAAATATTTTTGAATAAGCCTGTGATTGAAAAACCTACTCCAAGGCGTCGTGATGAAGTCACAGGTTCCACCAGGCATTCCACAGATGATGCCAAGTTGGATGTACTCCCATTGGCCGGGGGAAGAGTTGCATTTTCGTGAAAACCGGACCGCCAGAATCACCCTGAATCGAGAATTCCCTTCTCACTCTTATGCCGACATTTTCGATATACCTTTTTAGGTTTTGATAGACTTCTTTAAGTTTTTCTGCTTAAAATTCACCTGGCAAGGCCCAACTCGCCCGTTCCCCGCGACGCAGAACACCTTCTCCTCCACTTCATAGCACGGCTCATACAGCGTCGTGGCATAACCCCGTAGAAATTTGGTGGTTTGCTCTATGGCAATCGAAAAATTATTGCCAATATCAATTACCCGCAGGCTGTAAGCTGCCCCAACCGAGCATTTCCACTGTCCCAACGTTCTCCATTGGTACGGTTTTCCAAAGGTAAATTTTCGAAACCCGCCGAGGATTCAGGGGTCTTGTTAACTAAAGATTGCAGTATTGGGGGAGAGAGAGAGAGAGAGAGAGAGAGAGAGAGAGGGAGAGGAAGGAGAGAGAGAGAGATATAGAGAGAGAGAAAAGGGGAGAGCTACAGCTACCTTTAAAAGTGCGACATCGTTCACACGACCAAACTTTCCATAAGTCCAGTCTGGGTTAACGTCGGCCGATTGGATCATCGTTTTTTGCTAAAAATTGATTGCTCCACTCCTATTCCTACAATTATAATTATTGAAAATCTGTTTTTCAAAAACAAATTACTTTTTTTAAATTCCCTACCGCCCAAGGTTCCGGCGATCCAGACGGACCAAGCCTGGATGTACCCGCAACTACGATCCAGTCTGTTAAATCCTGACTAAAAACGTTGAAAGTCCTTTTTCTTGCGTCAGCCTTACATTTTGGTGTTGTCGAATTTAACTGTGATGCAGTGAGCAGCTGTTAGTATCCAGCTATAGCCGAGGATTGAGCCACCGCAGTGATGACGAAAGGTTCCTTTTCTAAAGAGTAAGCTTAAGCCCAAGCCTAAGAATAAGCCTAACCCGAAGCCTTAGTCAAGCTCAAGCATAAACCTAAGCCTAAGTCTCGCAACAACTAGCGGTAGCGAAAAAGGTTCTTCCTACCGGAAGACCAGAAAGTTCCCCGTTTCCCCCCCCCCGCCCCCGGAAGCCCGAGACATCCGATCCCACTCTCTTCTCCATCCTCCCTGCCGACGCCGGGCTGCTGTACGACCCGACCCCGCTGAACGCCTTGAGACCCACGGCCCCCGCAACAGCCGTGGACAACTGTCGGGCGAACGCTCTGGAATGCCGGCTCGCGACCCCGTTCTGCGCCCTATATAAGAGGAGAGGGATCGACACTAACTCACTTCACCTCCGACCGATTCAGAATTACCCGTTTTCCGTATTTGGTGCTATAAAATAGTTCAGTATTCTTAAAGTGCATATATATATTCTCGCGACTATCGAGCGAAAAGGAGCTGTCCTTCCGGTCAGCTCCTGGTAATGTGAGTAAGAGAGAGGGAGAAAGGACTAGTAAAGAACTATGATACAAACAGAAAGACCTGCGAAGGTCCTTTCCCGAAACCGAGGTCCTCAAGACCAACCGGTTTCGACACAATCCTCTCTGGCCGTCTCTCTACACATCATACTCCAAATGGCAACAACATTGCTCATGGTTGCCCAACATCGTGCCAACCGACTCTATATAAGTCCACCGCTGAACAGGGGACTTCACTTCAACCAACAGCCACCGCTTCCAACAGCGAGGCATTACCTTGGACCTCATCTTTACCTTGAATTATATTATTATATTATACTTCGTCACTTATTTACGACAATAAACACTTAACGTTATTTGACCACTGAAATAACCGTTAAATATATTCTTATACTACAACTACATATAAACTGTGCCGACTCATATTCTACCGCAAGTAAGTTTATAAAAATGCATAAATATTCATATCCTACAAATATATATAAAACTGCGCCGACTCATATTCTACCACAAGTAAGTCTATAAACCAAGCCTAAGCCTAAGCCTGAGCCCCAGGAAAATCCTAAGCCTAAGCCCAAGCCTAAGCCTAGACCGAAGCCATGCTTATTGTTATGTAGACATACACATTTATGCTGGGCTTCTGAATCGATACCATGAAACGGTAGTTCTCGATGTCACGCAGCTCGCCATCGATTATTTTGAAGTTCTCCTAATAAATCTTTCCGTGCTGGAAGACAGCTTAATACCGATCCAAAACTCGCGTTTCCTGACTTGTCAAGGTGTTCAAGGCTTTGTGAAGCATTAGGATGAAGGCTGGCACCCAGGATCGATCCCGGAGACCCAAAAGTACGCATAGAACTGCCGGGAAGGAAGCTCTCATCAAACAATCGCAATATGATTTGTTATTTGAAATCGAGTGGCCAGCGCCGCATTTTTAATAAGATCTATTTTTAAAAGAGGTTTTTATGGTTTCTCCTAGAGAAAATTCGATACTTCGATTCGCCAGTTCACTAGTATTTTATTAACCTTTGGGTGTGGCCCTTTGCCTGATTTTCCACACTGCACTCAATCAAGAATTTTGGACTTTGCAGCAATGAACCTCAACCTTCGGCACTAAATCACTGTTCCTCTCGCCGAGGTCCATCGTAACTTGTTAAAGTGACTTTCTCACGCTATTCCCATTAACGCGATTCCCCAGCTACCGTTTTGGTGAGAATTGCCGTCTAATTTGGTGATATGAGAAGGATCGGACGGTCTACTGAGACCGGCTGCAGTCCTATCCTCAATCTCGAGGAGCCCCTGCCCGTCTCACCAATTACGGCCTAGCCGCATAAATAGGAAGGCGCCCGCTTTGCTGTATCCATCTATGCCATGCCGTGCGACTAACGTAAAAGACTGGCTAGAAGTCCATTCTACATCGACAAACATCTTATTAGCCCTAGCCCTCACCACTGAAAGGTACAAGTTTCCTCAAACTTAATTGACCTATTTCCTTGTCCAATCAAAAATTCACTGGGCTAGCCATTGTTTCATTTTCACGATGAACGCCGAGGTCAAATTCCGGCGAAATTCCGGTTAAATCAAATTTATTTTTGTAATAACTCGAAAACCACCGTACCGATTTGGCTGGAAGTTTCTCTGGACATTTTAAATACCTTTGTGCGCCGCTGCTGAAAATTTCAGGTAGATCGAACCCGAAATGGTGAAATATCAGTGTGACTTTTTTGTTATTGGTGATACCCTTTATGTCTAGGTCAACTAGTCATTTTTTCCCGATTTATTCCAAAGAACAGTACCGCTTTCATTCGTACTCAAATTTACTCTATGTCATTTTCTGAAGGAAATTAGGTACAGTAACTCGCTAGGACCATTTTTAGGGGTAATCTGTCGTTAGAGATTAACATTTTCCGATACAATCCAAAGTACATTAGCCCGCTATCATTCTTGCACAACTCCTCCCAGTCTTACGCGCCACTTTTCGAACAAGTGCCCTGACGAAATCGCCTCACATAACCTCCAGCTAGGCGTGGCTCCTCTCCGCCTCCCGAAATCGATGGCGTGAGCGAAAATTCGGGGCTCTCCCCCGTTTCCACGCTCTCTAATTTTGTCTAGTCATCGCAAACACTGCTCCCTCCTCTTTTCTAGCACTATTTTCCCCTCTTTCTCTCGCCTCTCCGCGTAATTTCTGTCTCTCGCTTCACAAAGAGCTCGGCCCCCCCGCTTTCTCCCTGCCTGCTTGCCCAGACTTCCCCCAACGCGCCCGGGCTGAGGTTAGTAATTTGGTCCCTAAAATTGATTTAAATAGATTTAAAGAAGGTTTTAATGGTAATTTAGGTATGTTAATTAAGGTTAGAGCTTTGTCTATAGCTTTTTGTCTCGTTAAGACTGTTTTCTACGGAATTGGGAGCTCTTTTCCAGAATTGAAGTATAGATTTTATCTCGTTGCTTTAAAGTTTCTCAAAATCTGTATTTGCAGGTTTTTAAATCGTCAGACTTGAGTTCAATACCTTTTAAATACCGTAATTTACGCAAAAATTGGTACTCTATAATTCGGAAATTCAGAAAAATCCGATTTTTCCAACAAATTTTGATAAATTTCTTTTTAAAAAAGAAGTTTTTACTGTATTTGGTCTCGCTCATTTTTCACCAAACTCAAAAGCCCTTTTCCTGAGATTAAAATGAGAAAGCCGTCCCGCCTGTCCCCTCCGTGTGTCACCCGGTCGCCACGTAATGCCACGTAACGCGCGCGTCATTTCGGCTTGTTTCGTAGCTCTTTGTCGCGGGTCGGAAAAGTTTGATGACATTTTTGTTCTCCGGATCTGAGAATTTTTAGTATATTAACGGAATATAGTCTTGAGCGGTTTGGATATAAAATATTATTTCCCTGCATTATCTCTGAACATTTCAGCTAACAAACTAATTTCTTGAGGAAAAATAAATTAAATGAACCTGTAATTTAGAGCTTTTTATACAAAAATATTATCGCGTTTACCAACAAATTCGCTGAACTTTTCAGCTGCCCAACAGCATTAATTTTTTAATTACATTTTAAGATGGAAAGTATCTATCTTATCCAGTGTTTTTCAAAAACTTTTGCAGTCATCTTTTCACTTTAGTACGTTGATACCCTGACGTAAGACAATATTTTATTTAGCAACAAAACCCCGGGTATTAAGGACCGCTTTGGCTGTCAGCTAGCCCTATAGTCACCATCCTTTCCCAACATTACAACGCGGCACTACGCGGGGGTCCGAACTACGGATTTCCACTTTCATGGGTTTCTCCCTCCTGCTCTCTCTCGCTCTCTCTCTCTCTCGCTCTCTCTCTCTCCTGGATTTTCTGATTGTTATTGCCTGCCATTCGGCAATCCGAAACCCCAGAACGGCCCGTTCCACGCATGAAAACATAATGAAAATCGATGGGGTTGTGTGAGAGAATTTTGGAGACGGATTTCGATGAAATCGGACCCGCCGTTTTTGTCAGCAGTCGACCAAGGAATTAATGAGTTTTTTGACGTTTCAATTTTCCAGGTTTGAAGGGAAATTCTACGGTAGGCTTAGCAACTTTAAAGGGACCCAGAAGTAAATTTTCAGGAATTTTGACAGAGATTCGTAACTACAACTGGATTTTAACTTCCACAATGTCTTTATAGAATAGTTTTGGCGCATTTTAAAGGAACTTTAAAGCCATTCTTTATGGATTTTGGGCAGAAATCAAACCGTGATTAACCTTAACTTTATATTTTTTAAAGGCAAATGTACGCATACGATCCGAAATCAATACCTCCGAATTTTCCCGAATCTCGCATCGCAACGCCCAGTTTCAAAGCTTTCAAACCCCCTTATCAGCTCTTCGGTTTCACGACCTCTCAAACGTTTGGGCGCTCACGTGAAATAGCGGGGATTTTGATACACAAGCCGGGGCGGCTTTTAGGACACGAGCGTCATTTTTCGGTGTTTACTTTGGGCTCAAGTTCCGACTTTGGATTTTTGCCGATGTCCCAAACAGATTTTTCCGATGCCGTAGTTTTGTCTAAAAAGCGTATCTCTTTCCTTACACATTAACTTTAACAAATTTTGTAAATACGGATAGAGGCAGGCTACCGTACCCCTTAGGGTTTTTTGTATCTGTCTAGATCTCTGGATTCCACCATTCAGTCACCTAGCAACCAAATCGCGCCCTTATCCCTGACTACCAAATTGTCTAACAAATCTAGGCCTCGGAAGCCTTTTTATGAGTTTAAATTCTAAACTAACAACTTCTCCTGTTGATTATAAAAGTTTCTTTAATAAATAGAAATGGAATAAAGTGAATTTAAGCTAATTCATGTCTAGAAAAGGTTGAGACTCGAAATTTCCGAGTTTGGAGAAAACTTAGAATCAGTTTTTACATAATCGAAAGCTAAAATAAACTGATTAACTGGATTTGATTAAAAACTAATTTTCTAAATCAAATACCACCAATTAATCCTCTCCTTTTCAGGGCTTAGCCCTCAACGAGGGCCGAAGCCCCGGCACCGGGCCGCGAGGCCGGAAATAGGCCACAGGCCGGTGAGTTATTTTTATTTTTATCCTTATTTTGAAAAACTTTCGCTGTTTTTTTACTAAATTCGAAAACCGTACGTTTTTAACGTAAAACTACCGTAAAAACCAGTACTCCTTGTTGTCGATCGCCCCATTAATCCTGACATTTTCAGGGTTTGGCCAGTCGACACTTGCGCGCTACTGGTCGAGTAGCTGAGTGAGTTTATTTTTATATATTTTTAAATAAAGAATAAAAAATAGGGCCAGTTTTTTTAATTTAAAGAGAAAAACGATAAAATTTAAATGATGTTTGGATTTTTGATAGGATTTAGCGAATTTCGTGCGCTTTTTTTTTACTATTTTTCATTATAAAAGACTTCAAAATTATGCCGAAACATTTGAAAAGTCAAACTAGCATATTTTCCTAAAAATTATTATATTTTCTACATTTTTTTTTTTCTGACGATTTTTAAGCATCTAAAGCGGGAATTATAAAAATATTCCAAAATTCCAAAATAATTTTTATTTTTCAGATATTGTGTGTTTGTGTTTCTATGATGGAGCTTTTCAACCGGGGAATTTGTTTTGAAGTGGTATGTTTTTATTAAGAAATTAAATATTCAATTGCTACCCATTTGCTGGAAACTAATAATACAAATTTTTCAGATATCAGATTCACCGCAAGTGTCGTTGCGCCTCCAACCAAAGGTTGCCCTCCGTGGATACGATTATTGGTTAGTTTTTGAACTTTTGCGTGGCTAAGTAAGTTGGCTTAACGATTAATCCGCTATTTGTAATTAATTCTAAGCGAAAAAAATTTAGATAAATTACCTTTGGAAATTAAAATAGCAGTTTTGTCAAGAAACAGCGTGAACACCACCATATTTAATTGCTAATAAAATCTATATTTAATCCTAGAAATATTTAAATTATGAATTCTCAAAAGCGATTTGACTTCAGTGCTAGCGAAATTAACCTAAAATTGCCAAATTAGAATTTCCTAAATTTACGAAAATTCCTAGTTAGTGAATTTATGATATCTAACAATTACTGCTATAAAGTTTTTAGTTTGAGCTGTTTAAGTCAAACTTTTTCATTAATTAAATGTTTCAATAATAATTTATGATATATCAAAGTAATCGTAGCCATTATTCAGAACCAAAAGCACTCCTAACGTTCTCAAAAGTAACATCCAATTTTCAGATCCCGCCCTGCCCGTTCGTTCCTTCTCCGCCAATGCCGTTGATGAGCATCATTTCGCCCACACCGCCTACACCGCCTACGCCTCCAATGCGTCCTACGTATGCTCACCACGTCAGTAGTCCCGGGAATTCCCCGTCCAAAGTGAAGATCGATGATCCAATGTGAAAGCCGAAAGGTTGAGCCCCTTTGAACAGCTCCAGCTTGCCCGACTGCCTCGGGCACCACCTCAGAAAGGAATTTGCGAATTGTTGAGCTAACTGAGCCTGATGATGATGAGATAATACTGATGCGTACCCCTCCTCCGATTACTACCGACGTTCCGATACCGCTGATATGCGTATCCCCTGCTCCGATTTGTTCTTACTGACGTACCGATACCCTAGCGTATCACCCCTCCAACTTGCCCGACTTGCAGTTGTTGAGACCCGGCTACCACAGCCAAATGCGAGGCTTCACATTAGTTGATACTTACTTACAAGGAGTCGTTTTTGGGTGATATTGGAGTTTTTGAACGAGACCTAGCTAGTTCGATAGAGAAAAAAATTCTGAACAAGATGTCGTTTTCCAAATCTGCTAACCGTGTACGCTGTTCAATAAAAATTAATTTGAAAATCATTAATCTAATTAACATTTTCCGCCTGATCCGCAGATTCTGCGCTCTGGGTGCGCGTCAACATAGCCCCCCTTTAGGCCTCCCTCCAGCCATGACCAGCTGGCCTATTGGTAGTGCGCTTGCTTCATAAGTTTTTTGTCTTTTTTTTGCCAGCGGGTTCGACTCCTCGCTAGTAAAAACTCTTTTGCTTTTTTGCTCGATAATGCCAATTTCGATTTCAATGGCATGAAAAACCAAAAAGCAAAACAATAAATCACAATAAGTTCCGAACCCTGGGCATAATTTTGCAAAAGTTTGATAGGCGCTGGCACTATCCACTAGGCCACGATCTCATGCGGATGCTGGTTCGCGCTGTGGGCTATGTCCCGGGCCTGATCCATGGGTCGCAGCCTGACTTCCAGGAATTTTTTCATTAAAATTAATTTTTATTGAATACAGTACACGGTTAGCAGGATTTGAAAAACGGCATCTTGTTCAGAATTTTTCTCTATCGAACTAGCTAGGCTTCGTTCAAAAACTCCAATATCACCTAAAAACGACTCCTTGTTAGACCCTGGGAGGTCCCTAGGGGAGTACCGCGACGCGGCCGCGCAAACGGGGCCCAATTTTCGGGGGCCCGTGAGCAGTGGCGGGGGGCCTGGCTTCGAAACCCGATCCCTTCAGCCCCAAACCGCTCATCGTCTTCTCCTTCCCCTCATCGGCGACCGCGACGCGCCTCCCCGCAGCCGCGACGCGCACGTAACGCCTTGGCTTTCAAACTCCCGCCCAACCAGGCCTGGATCCGGGTGCCCTGCGTGGCCCTCAGGCTGGGCCTGATCAACCCGGCTGCACGAGGCCCGAGGTACCTGGATTGGGTGGGATCGGATCCTCTGCGTTGCGTTCGCGTTGCGGCTGCGAGGAGGCGCGTCGCGGTCGCCGATGAGGCGAAGGATTTGGCATTAGTCGCTTGGGACTAAAGGGATCAGCTTTCGTCTCCAAGCCCTCACCACTTCTCCCGGCCCCCCGAAAATTGGGCTGCTGCTTCGCGGTCCCTTCGCGGCCCCTGGCCCCGCCCACTCGGCGTCGACACACTCGACCCAACCCCCTACGATTCTCGGTGAATTTCGGAGTAAAAAAGTGCGATTTCTGGCGATATTTTGAATAATCCAATGGAATTATTGCGGCGTAGTGTTCTGTTCGAGAGCAATTGAGTTTGTTTCTGGCGCGAAAAAGGCGTGCTCTCCTTGCAGAAATTGTTGAGCTTCTACAGGAGCTTCGAAAAGTTGGTACAGTAGTTTTGACTCATTCAAGAGCATTATTTTGGCGTAGTTTCTCCTTCAGAGCAATTGAGTTTGTGTCTGAACCGAACGAGACATGCTGTCCTTGCTGGAGTTGTTGATCTTCGCCATGGCGCCTACGAAAAGTGGTTTTCACCAAGTTAATAGTGCGCTTTTGGCGTAATTTGCTGTCTGGATCAATTGAGTTTGTTTCTGGTGCGACAAAAGCATTCTGTCCTTGCTGGAGTTGTTGAACTTCTCCATTTGCGTCCGACACTTTCAAAATTTGGTTAGTGCAATTTGAGCGTTTAAATCGCGGGATTTTGGCGCAATTTCCTTGCAGAGGCTACAGTTTGCGTTTGTACAGAAAAAGCGATCTCTCAAAAATTGAGCTATCTTTTCAGCATTTTGATAGGGATATTTGGCGAATTCAGTACCGTAATCCATTTTTTACATCATTTCCATAACCCGAGCTTTCCACCGCCCCCGGCCTGGCCCGGAAATTTTTCCGGGCCACAAGTCGGGCCCCAAATTCACCACCGGGGCCCGCAATTGGTCGCTGCCCTTAAATTTTTTTTTATTTTAAAAAGGATCATATTAAATTTTTTATAGGGCAACGGCTTGTTAATGTCTTCATTTTTTTAGGTTATTGTCTTTTTTATTCTGCACCCTCACCCTATTACCGTACCCAATTTTTCGACCGTTTTTGGGCGGCTGGTTTTTTGTGGGGGGAGCGAGAAAAGAGAGAGCAAAAAAAGATGAACTACTGAAATTGGGTACCTTTTTTGTAATTTTCCACCTCTGTATGGTCCCGTTTTGGTGTTCTAATAAAAATGTAATGTACCAAACGTGTTGAAAATGCAGGATACCAGAAATGCATGAAATGACAGAGAAACACGGAGTTTTTAGCGTGTCTTGACCAGGGTTGGTCATTTGAGAGCCGGCTTTGGGCTGGAGCTGAAAGGGAGCAGGAGTCGAGCGGGAGCTGAAAATCCTAGCCCTGCTCAGCCTCTGCGCCGGCTCCTTTGGCAAGAGTGGAGTTGAACTCGCTTAACTCAAACCGGATTCTGCAAATTAGTTATTTATGCAAATCTCCCAAAACTCCAATAAAACTGAACATTTTTGGCCTTGCATTGCCTTATTTGCATAGATATCTGATTTGCAGAATCCGGTTCGAGTTAAGCGGGGTTCGGCTCTAGCTCATTTCCAAAAGAGCTGGCTCAAGAGCCGGAGCTGAGGGGGAGCTAAGGATTTCAGCCCCTCCCCCGCCTTGGGCGGGGCTCGGCAATTCAGCTCAGGCTCCCAGCTCCCGCTCTTTTCGTGACCAACCCTGGTCTTGACAGAGAATTCAGCTTGCCAAGAAATATTTCTAATTTTATGGTTTTGAACCCTAAAAACAACGAAATTTCTTCAAATCGCTTGTTAGAATGAGAGATTAACTTTTAGCGAGAATTTTGGCTCAATATCTTTCTCATTTTGCATTTTTTAACATGCAAAAACCACAAACCTTTATAAAAATCGAACGTTACGAATCACTCCTCTTGGCGGAACGCCCGCAATGCGTTGCTGAAAATAAACAATGATTTTCGAACCGCAGACAGTCACGAGTTCAAACTTTTTCGAGCTTTTTTCCAAGTCTAAACGATTATGATAGGTAATAAAAATTCCTGTTTAAAATTTAACGTTTTTCTGCATTCAATTAAAATGAAGAAACCCTCGAAAAGATTAGGACTGACAAGACATGGCACTATCTTTGGCCGATCTAACGGATTCCTCTATGAAATTCGATGAATTCCTCTTCGCAACGCAATGTGAAACCTTTTTGCTTGACTGATTGTTGTTCTTAACAGAATCTTAACAAAGTTTAGGGGCTTCTTCACATTTTTCAGAAGGTTTTTGACGCGGGAAAAAGGTAAAGCTCCAGGCTAGGTTTCTAAAAGTCCATTGAAGGTAAAATTTAAGCTAAATGTAGCCAAATCTTTCCATTCCAAGATTTCAAAACTTTTCCTCCTTTTTCTATCAAATTTTGGCAATACCTTGACCCTAACGAAATTTGGTAGTTTTGTAGTAATAATTCGGATTATTCCGAGGGCCAAGGTCACGTACCAGCGCCAATATGCTTGCTGTCAATGCCATATTTTTTTGTCTTGCTGGTCCCGCTATGCCATGTGAGTTTCTTATCTATCTGCCATCTAAATCGCCCAAATATCGGCTAATCTGCTAATCGTCTAATCTGAAGAGTGCGTTTGGGGCCATTCCTCACGACTCGAGTCTTATTAACTTTCTTTTTCGCATCTCTTAGCGTTCCTCAAACCATATTTAAAGTTTCATAATCATACCCGAATTTCGGATAACCTGATTTTGCGGAATTTCTCGCATTATTAACTTTTTACTGGGTTTCTGATCGATTTATAGGGTTTGGAACTTCACAGATTTTGTTTTCTTGCGATGACGAGTCAATCTTCAAAACTTTTTGCGCTTTTTTGATTCTTCTGAGAGCTAGCTATTTAATTTTGAGCGTTTCGCAACGTTAATAAACTTTAAAAAGGGTTCTCAAGTGCCTGATTTAACTCATAAGTTGATTTTTGATACCTACAGCATTTAAAAATCTAGAAAGCTCTTTCCAATAACTTTCCGCTCTAAATTTTACTGAGCAGGAGATGCTGTCCGACTTGCGGCATTGGCCTTGCTGCTACCTACCATCTATGCATTCTCATGCAAAGACCAGAGCAACAAGGATGTCGACTGGTTTATGGTCTACAAGATGCCGAAGGAAGTCGGTGAGTGATGAAAGGCGCGAAAGAGAGCGAGAGAGAGAGAGAGAGAGAGAGAGAGAGAGAGGGAGAGAGAAAGCTAAAGAGAGAGAGAGAGAGAGAGAGAGAGAGAGAGAGAGAGAGAGAGAGAAAGGAGAGCGAGAGTTACCCTACTTTCCAGACAACAGCGTCATCGACATCCAGCAGGGCCTTGCCTTCTACTACATGGACGTCAACGACCAGACCGCCTTGAAGCCTTCCCCAGAAGCGCTGAACAGCACCAGCCAGGCCATCGCTTATACCCTGAATCAATTCTACGCCGTCAAGGACGATAAGTCGATCTTCCACGTCATGTTTAACGATGAGGTAACTAAGGTTAAAACTTCTTAGTGTATTAAAAAACTTTAAAGACTTACTAATTACAGCCCTACGGTACTGTATCCATGTCATCGCAGCAAGCTAACCGGATCAGCAGCCGGATCGATCCAATGAAGCTGGCCGTGCAGTTTGGACACACTAAGGGTAGGATATACTTTTATGCTCCTTCTCTCTCTCTCTCCGCTCTCTCTATCTTTCTATCTTGCTTGTCAAAAATTCCTGTTTAGGAACCCTCTTCTTCAACGGCCAAACTGGTGTCTGGCTCGTCCACTCGGTCCCGAAGTTCCCCCTCCGGATCAGTACCAATATCCGGATTCTGGCCGTGACTATGGACAGACGATGCTGTGCATGAGTTTTAAGTACGCGCAGCTGAAGGACATCGGTAAGAGGGAAAGCGCGAGAGAGAGTGAGAGAGAAGGAGAGAAATGAGATGAGTTTTCAGGCACACAACTCTACTACAACCACCCCGACATTTACTCCTCGAACTTGCCGACCACGATGGCCGCGGCCAACCCCGATCTGGCTAAAGTAAGCTCGAGAGGACTACATTAAAGGGACGGTGTCACCAAAAATTTGCCGCAGCTTGAAAATGGCGTTTTAGCTGATTACCGGAGACTACCAAAAAGGAGCCGCAGCCACCTCCTCCATGACGCTGACGACGGCTGGCGGCCAGCAGTTCAAGTCGTTTGCCAAGTCGGCTGATTTCAATGATGGTTAGTTTCAGCACACTCTGCTGAAGCTAAGCCTCGGCCAAGGCCAAGCTCACGCCTAAGCAAAGCCTAAGCAAAGCCTAAGCTAATCCGCAAGCATTCCTTTCAGATTTATACTGAAATTCCTGGCCCTAAGCCTCCGGACCCCGTTCCTTGTCGAAAGCTGGCGACGTGGGCAGTGAAGTTCCGTTGGATTGCGGAAACGCGTACCCGGTTAACGATGCCCTGTCGATCAAGGTATACTTGTAGTTTGTAGCGTATTTAGCCGAAAAGTTTCAGCTGCAAATATACCCAAAAATTGCGTTATTTTAGGTCGGCGCCAGCCTCGAGTTCAAGTACACAAAGCGACCACAGCAAGCTGGCCAGGTCGGCGCTGAAGACGAGCCCATATGTCTGCATTGGAGATATTAACCGAATGGTAAGATACCTTGCTACTAACGACGCTATTTTACTGTTGATGTCGTTAAAATAATCCAGCATACTAAAACTGCTTGAAATTCTTTCAGCATTTTTTTTGGCAAAACAAACCGGAAAAACACTAATCAAAGGCAACCGAGCAGAGTTTCTTTGAAGGATTTTTCACCGATCTTAATTAGTGACATTTTAATAATTATAAGACGCAAACTGGAAGTTATTATGGCGACAATATTAAGTTCTAGACATCCCAATACAGACGTGGAGGCGGCACTACCTGCTTGATGAACGCCAGGGGTCTGGCAGGCGTTCGATGTGATGGCCACAAAGAATACATGCTAAGCGTTATAGCCTTCAATAAACTGTATTTATTCGGATGTACACAAAGAGAGAGAGGGAGAGAGAGTGAGAGAGAGAGAGAGAGAAACTGCCTTCACCAAAATTTATCATGTACAAAGTTCAGATCGAGCCGAAGGTAACCGTCCGCTGCTGAGATAGCTGTGGTGTCTAAAAATCGTAATTTCTGAAACCGTAGTAAAAATTTGGTGATTTTAAGAGTTAACTCTTCGATCCAGCAAACAATCCACCGTAAAAATTACCTGCAAAAACCTTCGTTGTAAAATAGGTGCTGCGTCACTACATAGGAAAAAAATGCGGTTCAGCTCTCGCCTCTGACCGCACTGATCAGCGTGTTTTTTGAAGGTTTGGAGCCTCCTAAAATTGGGTATTTACAATTCTTTGCTTGGCTTAATAGCCAGACCCGAGAGACAAAAATCCGGTTTTTGTTTGTCCGGTTTGTATATATTATTTGTCTAGATCAATTATGGTCAGAGAAAGGGGTAGATGCTCTCTCAATTTCATGGCCCTGAAAGTGAAACCCAAACGGTCAACTTACTCCGGGTACAAATATCCAATCACCGAGTGCGTCTGCCGAATATCAGCTTGAATATTAGAGATCCCTCCCAATAAGACCGTTCTATTCAAACGACCACTCAGATCGCAGGAGAAAGTCAGCACTAAAAGTATAGTTAGTCTCTTTTTAACTCCTAAGAAATTACCTAGAGTCGCCAGGGATCCATTAGACTTTGTGGATGGGTATGGAATCGAGCTGGTAGTTCGCCTGTCATATGCGCAATGTTGTCAGCTAGTACTACCTAAATCGATCGAATTTCAGATTCTTTACCTGTTTCGGAGACTTATAATGCTTTGACCGATTTAACCTACCTTGGCGTCTCCCTGGCTTGAACGTAGATGTCAAGGTATTGATTTGGGTACATCCTAGCCAGGTCTTGGCCAAAACGTTTGCATGCAGATGTAATTGGAGCGGTGAGTAACACCTGAAACTTGACGCATATCTACTCTTTTCGCTGCTGTCAAAAGCGTATAAGCAGCTGAGAGGTTAGCAAGACACAACGTAACCGTGGCGTGTTCGCACTATAAAAGCAACAGGCCAAAAATTCGCTCAGTATCGGATTTTATCCCAGTTTTATTTAGTTCTCATCGTGTCGAGATGCCTTTAGAGTTATTTTCGTCACGTAGCGGCTAAGCGTCGCGGTGTGTAAAAATCTACGCAACGTGTATGCGACGCGTCCAAGGGCTAAAGAAACCCCTTCAAGAAGTTCCTAGTCTTTTCCTTCCAGTTTCCTTGAAGATTCTGAGGTTTCCAGTCTTCTAAAACTCAAATTAATACCAACTCACGTGGTCCTCAAATATTCCGACAGCTCCAGCCGAACCCGATCCTTCGTCACCAAATAAGTCAAGAAATTTCCACGGTACAGGGCGTACAAGTCGCAATTCAGGCTCTGCTCCGATAGCCAAAATTTATATGGGAGGTGGTATCCATACCTTAACAATATTCTCGAACTTTCGAATTATAACTTACTTCTAGGGTACCTTGGTGGCTCATACGGGCATTTCTCCCTCAAAAATTGGAGGTCAAAAGCGAACTGGGCTTCAGAAAAGTTTCTAAAAAATTGTAAGGTTTGTGGATTTTGCGCAGATAAGTATTGAAATGCAAAAAATATCTAAAAGATGATAAAAACGTTTTGAAGTGAGGCTTAACAAAGAAGGCTGCAACCTACTCGGTATGGAGCACGTTGAATAGTGGCGTTTGTACGAGATACTCACGCCGATCTCTGAAACGATTTTCGCCGTTTCCAGATTTATTCAGGTTATTTAACTTTTTCTGATTTTATTTTAGGCTTGATAAAAACTGTTCAATTTAAAAAATAAGTTACATAGATTTTACCCGTATTGCGTTTCCACCGGAAATGAGTGCTCGCCAAAGATACTGGGCTTCACCACGTTTTCCAAGGAGTTACAAATCTAAAAGGAATAATGTATGAATGGAAACACTCAAATTATCAATAAGCAACAAAATTATGAAAATTTTACCTCTGTTCTGAGCAAATTCTGTACCACGCGATTTATCACACCTCCAAAAATGTCGAAGAAAAATGGGATTTTTGAGGGGAACCTGGTAAAAAAGCATAGTCTCTGATGAAGAACGTACTCGATGTCTAGCCCAGACAAATCGACGTTGCAGTTTTCATATTTGAACCCAATATAACCATCTTTTTGTTGGAAATTGGCTAGCGCGGAAGCTTTTCCATTGCGGAGCCGGGCGATCACTTTCCCGGCGTACCAAATCTTCGGCCCAATGTTGAATTTTGATAGTGGCCAGATCGGGAGGCCGAACTAAATGGAAAATTCTTTTACAAATTCGGTAATACAAACAAAAATGGTTTTTTAACATGTTCTAAAATACACATTTGGCAATAATCAACCGAGTTCATTGTTTTTTATTACGCCAACTTCTTTTCCAATTTACCAAGGTCTCTGAAGATACTGCGATAAATCAGACGGAATGCTAGCTTTTCAATACAAATTAAACATGGACAAATGCAAAAATCACAGCTTAATAACTTACAAATAAATTCTTTAACGAAAACTCCATATCTGCATGAATGTCGACGATGAATTTGTCTAGTTTTAATAGGATTCCATTGTCAGTGGATTCGGTGTAGAAGCTAAAATACGAATTCCATCACTCTCGTTCTCTCTTGCTCGTTCTCTCCCGCTCGCTCTCTCCCTCTCTCTCTCTCTCTCTCTCTCTCTCTCTCTCTCTCTCTCTCTCTCTCTCCCTCCCTCTCTCACCTCGGTGCCTCGAATTCTCTAATTATCGCCTTCTTCGTCGTCAATACAAAATCCCAGTCTCGATATTCTGATCCGGGAGTACGGTCCGATTTATCCAGTGTTGGCTTTTATACGTTAACTAAAAATACTAGATTATTGTTTGTTGTTTTTATCTTACAAATCGTGTAGCCACTTCAGCTCCAAATTTCTTTCCGTTTTCATTGACGCGGAAAATGAGGTTTGTTTGTCAGAGGTTTTCGCAAAAATAGTAATAGTTAGGTAGCCGAAAAGAGTAGAAATATGAATATCGATCGCATCTCAAGCTGGGGTGGGGTTCGAAATGGAAATCGGGGGCGGGTCAGAATACTTCAAAAAGCGCTGATAAGGGCGTGAAAAACAGAGTGTACCTTTTTGAAGGGATGTGCAAAAAATGCATGACAAAAACTTATTGTCATTTAAACTTGGGAAGCTTTCCGTACTGTTTTTAAATGCGTTGTAAAGTGACGCCTACAAATAAAAAGCTGGTTTTTCAAGCTTGTGGCAAACTGGCCGTTTCAAGGTCTTTTGAATGGTGTAAATATATCATGCCAATCCGATTTTTCTGCGCCGGGTTAGAGGGGTGTTTTTACCGGGACGCCCTATGTGGGTGTATTTTTAGTTGCCATCAACTGAGAAGAGTCCAAAAACAATTTATTAATTTCAAGAAAATGGTAGAGTTTGAGGATATGGATAACGGCTCACATGATCACACGCAGACCCTCTTCCCAACCGTTTTCTCGGTCCAGTCACAATAGTAGGACAGATCCATGCCGGCCGCTGACAAATGTTTTGTTGAGGGTCATTTCCGGGCTCCTGATGGCATCAAACTCAAACTCAAACCAACTTCTTTGGCCAGCGGCCGCATCGCAACCAAGTCCATCAGCTCCCGGTCCCCGGACGAGACTTATTTGCACCGGTCCCAGGCCGTCGTTACGTTCGGAGACGATCAGGCTTCCGGAATCTCCCTGAAATTTGTATTGCCATTTTCCTATTGCAATTTTATTTCAAAAACGCGCAAAGTCAGAATCACTAAAGCACAAATTGGTTCCTTCGCATTATCGGAGGAGACCAATTTTTCTTAGGTTATATTTTTCAAATATAAATGGTTGAAAGGTTTGTGAATATTTTACTATTCCAAAACGTAAAAACTGTACAAATTTTACTAAAAATTTCAGAAATATAAATTTTTTGGACCAAAAATGACCAATTTTGACAAATTTTCTACTTTTTAAAGTTTTTAGATAGTTTTCGTGTTGAAATTATTAGTTTGATGTTACGTAAAACCCCCTAAAAACAGTTTATATTACGTTACTAGGCATTTCTAAAATCAGACAAAAAATCTTGGTCCCCGAAAAACCTTACCCCCACCGATAATGCAGAAAGACCCAGAAATCGAACATTTCCCGTTTCACCAATTTAGGATATATTTTCTACATTCTGAAATCCAAAATTTTGATTTTAGATATACTACTCAGGCGTAACTCACATCACAGGCGCTCGAGATCCCATCCGTTGACTTGAAACAGGAGGTGCCTATAGACGCGGTTATCTTGCCCCTTTGCACTGGTCTTTGGCGAAAGCAGCTGAGTAACGCTTCAGGGGTGTTGGAACGATCCTCAGAGCCATCAGACGTCGTGATGCTCCAGCCCATGATCGAGATTTGGTCGGGTTCATAGTGATCAGCGGTTTTGGCGATCTGGATCTTGTCGACAGTGCCAGCATCAAAGTCTAGTGGGCTGGCGAGCTGTTTGAGCGCACTTTAAGCCGATTTTTCTTCAATTCCTACCTTTAAGAGCGCTACGTCCTGATAGGGATTGTATCTCAGTCGTTCGCAAAGTACTCAACAGCCGTTACATTGATTCGCTGCTGAAATAAATTTTAATCGTAAGGATGGTATGTCACAAAAAGCCTTAAAGGGGACTGAGTGTCGTCCGTACTTCGGGATGGGGTCAAGCATGTCTTGTCCAGAATTTTTGCGCTGATTCCGAATACGGTTTTCGTTTTTCCACAAAACCATATTAGAAAAGTTCTAAACGATTTAAACAAAAAAGGCACTTGTCAGCCGCTGTCGACGGACAAAAAGCTTCGGATTACGTTTTATAAAAAATCCAGCTAATGCACCTTCTTCACGAAAAATTCTCTGTGAGTTAAGCTACCGTACTCAAGAATTTGCAATTTTGAAAATTATGCTGGGACTAGGGGATAAAAATGTAGAAAATTTTTGTAATTTTTTCGGAAGTTCGATTAAAAATGTGACATTTATGGAGGATTGTTTTCTGAACACTAGCTAATTTTTGAACCTATGCCGAAGCCTTTTATGTCCATCGAAAGTCACTCGATTTATTGGGGGTTTTAGGTTCAACCGTTTATAGGTTTCGAGGAATAGCTATTTCGCAAAAACGGTAGACATATTCGGCCTCAGCGCAAAATTCTGAACAGGTTAGGCTGGGTCCCGAAATGAAATCCGCCAAAGCTTTAAAAGGATCTCTTGTCCGTCGTTCTATTATCTAAGAAATTCCTGGTACTCATTACCTCTTTTCCCACCGTACGCATCGGTCCGAATTGCTCCCGCAGAGATCGACATCGTTTCTGGCTCCCTTATTCCATGTGCGGTAGTCAATGCCCATTCCTTATCGATAATCGAGGCTCCGCACCATTGAAAATATGCGTAAGGCCCCACGCTAGAATTAGGAAATTAAAGATGGGCACGGGATTTCTCCGCCCATAACAGGAGAAATACATAAGATTTCCACATTCTTTCAACAAAATGTCTGGTCGTACTCACTTTAATTGAAGAGCAGCTGTGAATGGGTATTCGCCGGCTTTCGCTGTGTTGCCACTCACTATCATCAACTATGAATATGAAACGATTAACGGAGCTATTTAGCTCTATATTTCCGGTCTCTCTCTCTCTCACTCTCTCTCTCTCCTCTCTCTCTCTCTCTCTCTCCTCTCTCTCTGCGATCGCTACGCAGTAAGACCCCGAGGAGATCCCCAACTGACTCACCCTACTTTTGTACCTCCGGCTTCCCTCGATCGTAAAAATGTCTAAGGTATACCAAAAGGTTTTCCTCTCCTGGCGGATATTTTGGTATGCCTGAACCTGTAAGATAATAATAGCAAATACAGTGCGTTGGTGTCGGCGGGGAGGAGGGTCACCCAAAAATCCCAACTTACCGGTCTTGCCGAGGCGCCAACCGCAAATATGCATAGTAGCAAAATCCTAGCCACAAGCAGAGCCATTTTCTGCGAATTCGTTAGGTGTAGGGGTTGAGTGGCACCAAAAGATTTTTCTGACTGTCTGTGCGGTGAACTTTTAGTTATCAATGAGATGACTGAACACTAAAGGTGGGTCGGAGAGGCCGTTGCGTTCAATTCCGAATCAATAATTTTCTGGTTCCTGCCCGATCATGAAATTTGAATTTGTACCAGAACCAAAGGAATGCGACGAGCGTATTCGTTTGGACAGACGTATACGTCACGTCGGGAGAGTAAGCGAATTTGTATGTAAATTGATCTTACGAAATAAATCTGGGGAAAATTGAAACAAATGCTTAGGCTATGCATAATTTG